GCTGCCTCACCTTCCCCCCCCAGTTCATGTCCATTAAAATACCCCCTGTGCTTTGCTGTTCTTTCCTTTCACGATTAATTTACTACTACTAGCTGAGGTGAACAAATGAGGCAATTGAAATCTACAGCGCAGCACACAAGGAGCTTCTTGAATCAACTCGAATCCACCACGAGAGGGGTTTGTGGCTGAGCCCAGAGCCCAGGACAGAGCATCACCCCACGCCCCTCAGACATGAGGAGAAAGCTGGGCTCACGCACACTGCCGCCACGGGGCTGCTCTCCACACCGACACAGAACGGTGTAAATGTCTCCCAGGGTTAGGAAACCCCCAGGAAGGCAAAGGAGAGATGGCACTTTGGAAAACGGACACTCAGGACGGAGTTCTCTTGACCTGAGAGGTGACGATGGTCCCAAAGCCTTGCAGCCGCCCACTGCCCTTGCTGCCGCCTCTCTCCAGGCTGAGAGCTGCTGCAGCAGCCCAGCTCCCATTGCTGGTGAGACATCAAGGAACGCAGCATGTGATATAGGTGCCCAAAATCACGACTGCTTTAAATGCAGACCCTAGTTTATACTCCATTTTAACTTGCCTTTGTCGTACAAGGAACTATAGAAAGCAATAGACACTAGGGATTAACGCGATGCTTAGCGGCACTGCTTAACCACTGCGGTGATGGCATCCAGGTGATGGATTTTTAGTCTTATAGCAAAATCACACTTTTATTTATAAAAAGCAAGATCTGCCGATGGATGACTTGCTGTTTAGATAAACTGCTGTTCACAGAAAGCCGCTAAGCACTGCATTTGAAGAAATGCAAACATGGCAATCTTTTCTTCACTTACCTCACACTGCTGCAGATACAAAAGGCTGCTCTCAGTTCCCTTTCCTGGTGCCTCCCCTGCCTCTCCCTCCCTTTTTGGCATGTTTTTTGACATTTGCTAGCAATTCAGGCAAAGGTCTAACTCATTTTACTTTATCTTCTCCTTTGTTAGCTCTATCAAAATAGTTTTCACAAGATGTTTGTCTGACTTTTCAGCAATCCACAACCTCTCCAAATCCAAACAACTACTTTTGAAATACCTCAGAAAACCTGGCCTTAAGTTTTGGGCTTTGAGGGCTGCTTAGAGTGGAGAAAATAAAAAACAACCCACAATTACAAGTACAGCATCAACAGCAAAGGCTAAATTTGGTTTCTATGCTGTCTTTCACAACTTGACCAAAATCCAGTTTCATTCCAGCCTTTGACAGATGCCACAAGTATGCACTGTAGGTGGGGCCTTCTGAGTACTGACCTGCCTCACTTGGAAGCCATCCAAAATTGCCACTACCCATCTGTGTTTCACGCACATCTTTTTGGATTCCTGACAAAACTCTATGTTCTGTTAACACAACCAAGTGTTCACCATATTGCCTGATTGGAGCTCTCCCTCCAGCTGGAATATGCCAAAATAGACCTGCCATCTCTTCCCACAGACATCCTTCATTGTGGGGCCCCTGGGAGGAGACCACAATTTTTTTTTTTTCCTCACAGCTGACTTGTGATAGTAATTTTGACTCCATCAAGTTCTCACTAACAGCAGAACCTCTTACATTGTACATACACGGAATGGAATCTGATCTCTAGTGGGACAGCCAGCCACCAATGATTTCATCCCACCATCCCCTAGAGAGAGATTTCCAAACATCTGTCCTTCATCACACTGCCTATGAAACAGCACAGCTTGTACAGTGGTCACTGAGGCTCAGGCACGCTCGCTGCCCTCCAGCTCCTATGCCAAGTCATAGAGTTCTCCATTTAAAGAAAAGGCTTACTGAGGATCCTAAGAAATCATATCACAGTACTTTTTGTTAAAGTCTTAGTAAGATGGTAGTTGCTCTCAAGTACTGGAACAAACAAAAATTAAGGCTGTCTTGCGTTATTCTGACTCATCCATCCCATAGCACTAATCAAGATCCATCTAATTACTCACAGTAGAACAGTAGCTGTGGACAGATGAGTTCTTTCAGCTCCAGCTGTGCCAAGGAAGGGTCTTGCCTCCTAAGGCTACTAACCTTTGGTTCTGCTACTGCAATCTCTTAGGTGAGGGCACCAAAAATACTGTAGTTAGCAAAGATCTACTGCGCTGGTCATCTGCAGCCTATCCCACAAGTCCTTCAGGACTGACCAGCAGGTTTCATGCCTTTCACCTGGTAAGAAAAAGACAGAAATGCACTTTGGTTTCCACTAAAGGAAGGGTCACAAGGAGCTCTCTCACTGCCTGCTGCAGGGAGCAGCATACGAACTGCTCAGCTGTCTGTTGCACCAAGGAAGACTTGCATTTCTGTCTGAACCAAGTCCCCTTCCATCCTACCCTTATGCATGCTACACACACAGCTCAGCTGGCCCACCCTGAGCCCAGCTTCACTGACTGAGGTGGCTGATGTGGAATTATGCAGCACCCAAAGGGAAGTTTAAAAGAGGAAGGAAATTGGGAAGTTTCATAGAAAAAGCATGTTAGATGCTGTAAGAAGAAAGCAAGCTCCAATGCAGGGTAAATCAAACCTTTGCTAGTCCATGCTCCACCTCAGTTTGCAGATGACATTACCTGGACACTGACTAAACTGGTTTCAGGCAAGCGGGACTGACCCACACTGATTCTACGTACGGAGGAACTGAGCAATTTTTATTGCAAGTTGTTGCAATAAAATAAAAAACCTTAATGTTGCAAGTGCATCCCCTGATGCCATCCTTCATGCTCAACAGAGATGCCAGATCTAGAAATCTGAGCCTTCACCTCATGAATCAAGAGGTTTTCTTTACTGATCATCAATCTCTCAGGCGAACCGCACGTTCATAATGAGGCCAATGGTAACGGTGGAGCATATCACAGAGGAGACCAGCAGTGTCAGAAGTGAAGCTGCCGCCAGTGATCCGTGCTTCTCTCCTGAAGACATGGAACCACTCAGGCTCACTTCTGTGAAACAACCTAAGCTGTGCACTGGGCCTAAGCCTGTAAAACTGCAAAACAAACTCACAATGAAATAAACAAGGTACTTCTAACCTGTAGACTTCTTCTTTCTGAACACCAGTTTGCTATTCAGGTGACCAATCAGTTTGAGATTACAGCATTAACAGCTGATCTCTGAATCACATTTTATGAACCAGCAGTAGCAGAATTTAATGGGAAGCTGTTTCACTTCATAATACAATTCACATTGTGAGGTACCACAGTTTCCATTATGAAACCATAAAAATATATTCCCAGAGTCTGAATCAAGTTCAATAATTTAAACTGATGATGAAAATAGAATCAGGTGTTATCTAGGAAGACCTGTCCCAGTACTGCAAGTTTAGAGTTAAAAGACTGACTGGGGCAACTCAGGAGGGAGTGTGAGCTCTTCTTAGAGTTTCTCTTCTCTCTGTCTTTTTCTGAAGAGGCATCTTCAAGGTCTTTTGCACTTTCCCCTTCACCATGGTTGGAAGCTCTTTTTAAAAGGAATTTCTTGTTTTTCTTCAGTGAGTAAAATTCCCGCATCAAGTCTTCCACCTCCCACTGTTCTTCCTTACGCTTTCTACAGCAATGCAGCGCAGCAGGGTCTATAGGATGAGCTTCAGTGTTGAAGACGTATCCTCCAGCATTCAGGACACATTCCCCATATGGTGTAATCACCACATCAAAGACAGATCCATCATTGTGAATGAAGTTGTCTGGGTCAAACAGCAGGTACAAATATTTTACTGTTTCAGCCAAAAAGAAGGATTCCATGCGATTATCCAGTCTGTGATCTCTCAAGTCTTTGATCTACAAGATAAGAAATACGGTGGGTTACAGTTATATCAAATTCAGTAAGTTACGGACTTAGGGAGAAAAGTAAAACCAGCTTGCAGTTCATTTCAGTTAAAGAGCACAGTACAGCACCAATTCACTGTGTATTTTAAACGATTGTATGCAACTACATCAAGGTTTCAGATGCTTCGAATTAGCATAGTCTAGTGATAAGGAACAGGAAACTGACGATCAGGAGAAAGGCACTTCCTACCTGGGTAAGGAGGAGAAGAGTGAGTAAGCTTCCCATCATTTCCCCCACTAAAGGGAATCATGAGTCTTTTACAAAATTACAAGGCCTAATTCTGAATATTTATAAGGAGTTTTTTGTAAAACAGAGCTTGACAGTATGTTTGAAATCTTCTACTAAATGATTTTTTGAGAAATCACTCACTGCAGTTCTCTTGTGTTTGATCAGATTTTGAAGGCATAGTGAGAAGCAGAATCAGGCAACTGGCAATCAGAGAGCCTCCACGCTGTGCTGAAACACCTCATAGCTACCAAGACACAGGAGGCGGGAGAAGCTTCTGATGCTTTACAATGTTTCGGGCTCTGGTGCAACAGCCAGTGCCAGAATTCAGCCCACTGTTCAGGCTGTGAGATAAGTTACTAGCAGAAACATGACCAGTGGTTGCCAGATCAGCTTCACAGAGAAATACAAAGGGTTTGTTTGAAAAAGAAGTCATGTTTCAACCAAAGCGGTCTCTTGACTCAATGGCAGAGCATCGTTCATGGGAACGCTTTCTAAACCTGATTTTTAGGAGCCATTTAGCTGACTTAGTTGATTTAGCACTTACAGTTGCAAATCCACAGTCCACCTTGCTGATCTTCTCTATTGACTCCACTGCGTCTCTTCCTAGTTCTAAGAGCGTGGGATCTCTTGTGGCACGGTACAGATACATTGCACTCTCAATCAGCTCTGCGAGAAAACCCCAAGCATTTGCAAGCATAAAGATAACCAAACCATGTACACAGGGAAGACACAATATTCCTTGAACTAATTTAGCAACTCTACTTTAAGATGATCAGGAAAACAGCCTAGCTTGCCTTGTGCTTCTTCTGGCTCAAAGCACAGATACTTGCTTTTACTAAGGACGTGCTATAAAGAAATTCGCTCTAACCAGATTGCATCAGCTCAGGTAAGAGTGAATAATGCTCCCCTCCCACGTTCAGAGAGTGGGAGAGGAGCAAGAGACAAAAGGATTAAAACTCAGTTGTCAAAGGAAGAAAAGAATGACGCTTCTAGAAAAGATTACAAACAAGAAATTCAACCTCCCAAATATAGCTTTAAAAAAATACTGTAAGCTTCTGCAACAGAGCTAAGACACCACAAAACTGGGCACCATGGAAATACTCTGTATAGGCTCTGTGCTGTGTTTATGTACTAAAGAAACTGGTCTTTTTGGATGCTATAATACATTTAATAGTTAATGCTGATGAGTATTTTTGGTAGAAGTGTCCAATGTGGATGTTACCTGAACACTCAGACCAAAAGGAAAGTAATTATTCTCATTTACAAAGTTTTACTGACCTAATAATCAGGTGCGTTTTGTTTTTTTTTTTGGTCAGAGATGTAAAAAAAGAAAATAGAAAAAAGACAGATCCTTTCATTGCAGTATTACAAAAAACATTATCTTATATGTTAAGCTCTACTAGTGCAACTAGAATGAGTTTATTTCAGGAACTCAGCAGAACTCGAATGGTCTATTCATACTCACTTTCAATTCCTAAATTTATAGGACCCAAGCAGTCCTATTAGCATTTTGCATTACTTTAAAACATCTCTTGTCAGACAATCTAACACTTAAACACGTAAAATCCTACATTGTGAACGCAATGCATTAACAAGCCCCCTTCATATCCTAACACCCTGGTTTGCTTCCTTTAAAAGGCAGCCCTGCCTCTCTGAATGGCAGAAAGCAAAATGCATTGCTTTGACTACGGAAATCACTGGTAAAATGCATGCAGGAACTAAGTCAAAGCAAAACTGGGGAGGAACTTTTGGAGGGCAGGTGTTGCTAACACTTGATCTTACCACCAGAGGAAAAGCAGGACTCCATGCTCCTTTTTATTTCTGCTTACCAGGCCTGAGCGGATATCCTTCTCTCTTGTCCACTGTATAGCCCTGGGGAATGTTGTAGAACTCCGGCAGCCCACCAAACTGCTTCCAGACAGTGTAATAGTTGAGGAAGGTGCGCATGGCATTATCTACATCCCCAATTAGGCTCTGAGATAGAGGAAACAATTATCAAAGCAACATCTGAGTGAAGAAGAACAGCACAGGAATTGACACAATAACACTCCTACAGTCAAAGCAAGAGATGGTGGCAGAAATAGGCTGTTCAGCAAGTCTGAATGGCATCAGGAATATTTAGGTGTGATACAGGTAGGACTACGGAGACAGGTGCTGCTTTTCTGTTGGATCACGTTCCACACATCTGAAATAATATTAAATCTCTTTGATTTTTAGTTAATGGAAGGAACATTTCTTTTAGTCAATCACAGCACCCAGTCCATTTCAGTGGGCATAACAAAGTCCCAGACCACACGTAAGTAGTGATGAGAAAGCAAAACTCTCAGTTTTCTCTCTTTTTCCTTACATTCCCATCTGGATTATGAGACCACTGTCAGTGGAGTTTGCTACAACAAAACTGCCCTCCCATCATGCTTACTGGGAGACTTTTTTTATAGACCATAGATAAAGTCAACATCTGCTCTTCTACAGGCTCAGACTACTGTAGATTTCACCAGAGACCAAAACAAACTTTTAAACCAGCACAGTTGAGGTTTATATTTTTAACTTTTATATTAAAGACTGATCCAAGACAGATGAACAAAACTACCATATGCTACTGGTATGACAGCTCTTACCTGTAGGCCTGGCCAGTAGGCCTCCAGGGACTGAAAAACAGGCATGGACACTGTTCCTTTGTACATCTGAACCCAGAGGTACCAGTCATCAAACTTTGTGTAATTTTTGATAGCTTTGTTATAGTCTATAAAGAAACAGATGGGTAGGTAATCCAACAAAAAAAATATTTTTTTTTTTTAAGAAAGAGAGAAGCCCCCTTTTCACTTGAGGCATGTCAAATGAACAACTTCTCAGGATGCTCACTTTGGTAACTCTCTGTTATCACAGATTGTTCAAAAGTATTACAACAAAGGCTTCAGAACAGTCTTGAATGTACCCTGTTAGATTCTTCATCTTCTTCCATAGTCCCACGTGCCAAGTTTTTACAGGTGAAGTCAAGGAGGCATTCTTGGGACCCTTCACACCAAAACCAAACTGCTCACCTAGAAACATGGACATCAGCTCCTTGTCCTGCAGGAGGATGGCTCCTTTAACAAGGTACTCAAAGTAGGAGTCCACTCCTGCCCCAATCCCAGCATCTTGGGCCACCCACTTGGCAGTTATCACATCAATGTGGTTACCAACCTGCAAGAAGTGAGGGAGGAGGAAAGAGGGAGTTAAAGTGGAAATAGAGCTTATCTACTGAACAATAATTTTAAAAATCTCCACAACATCACCACACAAGAAACTCTTGACCTTTTTTCAGACCATCCATTTCACAGGTTCATAATGTCCACTCCAGCTAGCATTTCCTCCATTACAAGACACATTTATCAGTATCAGAGAAGTACAAACTGTAGAAAATATAACGTTGGAATTTTATGCTTGTGGTATAAACGGTGCACCAGCCAAAACAAAACACCATTATGCTACTGTAAAAATGTGCAGTTTCCACATGATGTGTCTGGTTCTAATTCTGATCTTCCAAAAGAGCAGAGAAGGATGAAGAGGTACAAATAAAGAGATAGAGGCCAAGGGTGTCAAAGGCATGAGAACTGCCATGCTAATATTTAAATAGATCCTTCAAAAATGGGATGACTCCGCCTAGAAACAGACACAGCTGATGGAAAATAAAATATGTAATCGTAACTTGCTTGGCAGAGATGAAAAAATACAGCTATTCAGTTTCTTTCTTGAACAAGGATTAGGGGTATAAACCAAAAATAAACAGATCCCAAAGCAAACAAAATGAAACACTTCTTCACACAGCATATGAATAAACCCGTTCCACTTCACATATGCAGCACTGGGAGCCCACATACATTCAAAAAGCAGCTGTAGAAAATAACTGAAGAAAGATGGACCAGGAGACGGTGAACACAGAGATAACACTTCTAGCTCTGGATCTTCCTGAATAACCAAAGCTGTAGAGGCTGGTAGCATCTTGGTGCACTTGCCAGGCTGTTATTTTCTTTCATAGGCCATTGTCCCACCAGGCATTAGACAGACCTTTTATTTAATCTGTTACAGCTGCTGTTACAAAACTGCAATTTGTCTCCCAACCGCATCTGCTATGGAACAGAACAATGGCATAATGCTGGGCTGCACCACTAAAGCAGAGACGTGGATGCTGCATGTGTTCAGAAACAATGTCAAACACATGGCTTCAGCCCAGTTATTAGCACTCTGGTTATTTATCTACTTCTATCTCCTGTTTATGCTTTTTTATGCTTAGAATTACATCCAGAAACTATAGAAAAAGCAGGCCAGCAAATTCAAAGTCCATTCCTCACTCACCAGCCCAATATCTGAGCGATTTTTCCACAGTGCCTTCAAAGCCTTCCTGGCAACATCCTCGAACACTGGGTCACCAGTTAGGTGGCTTAAAGTGGCAAATTCCACTATAAATGTACCAATTCCAGCAGTACAGGTGACTGGCGTCTCCCCAGGGTTTACTCCATGCAGCAAGTTCACTGTTCCATATGGCATCCCAGTTGGGGTCTGAAAAGCTGAAACATAATATTTTTGGTTCACATGAGTGTTTGCTGTTATGTTTGACAGACTGTCACACAAACATGTGCTTCACATTCCACTGCACACAGGCAAGATGCGGGACTGGAGTAATCGCAGTAACTACAAAGAATGAAATTGGAAGTAGAGTGTGATCCTGGGAGGGGCAGAGAAGGTACCCCAAGCTACACACAGTCCTGGGAAGGTACTGCTGATCTCTTCCACCTTGGTCAGAGCAGCAGACTGCACCCCTACTTTTTTTATAGCACAAGCAGGGTAGTAAAAATAGACCTAAACACGGCAGATGGCAAAGTGCAAACACTGAGCTTGTGATTACTCAGCTGTAGCCAGGGGCACACACCCCAGCAGGAGCCCACAAAGGGGTAGATAAGGCTGCACCCTCTTGTCTTTACAAGCTGCTGTTTCACAGCCTTTATATATTATTTACATTAAATATATTTCCCCTCCAAAAGCAACAAACAAACTGATGTGTTAAGCATCTACAACGCTTGGTATGTGTATATACAACTGGTATCACACACTTCACAATGTTTTCCCTGCAAGCTAAACTTGCTTTGAGCTCAGGGAATGCAGGACAGTTTTATGAATTTGCACATCAAACAGTGCCATCTTCATCCAACCCACCAGTCACCTCCTGAGCTACAGCACCGTGACACAAACCAGACAAGTTCTCACCCGGCAGGAGTTTGCGAGCTGCTTCCTCCGCCATCCTCAGGAGAGGTCCAGAGCATGGCCATCCCACTTCTACTTCAACACCAGCCTTCTTCGACAGCAAGTGAGCAGAGAGGAGACCACCCACCACTGGGAAGTGCACAGTAAGAATCCCATTAAAGAATGCGGGGAAGGAATGAAATCTGAAAGCAGTTCTATTTATCTGTTATTTATCACAGTGCAGAGGCAGTGTTTCTGGAGAAGAAAAGTGAGACGGCTCATCTCTAACAGCCCAATTCAGTATGCCACCAAACAAGAGTGGTTTGTTTCTTCCTGCCTGTTTGCAATGGGGAGCACATATCTACCTTCCATTATTTTAGAAGCATCACATCCTACTTGCCCAGTATACTTCCGCTACCGTGCAGAGACTCAGAGAGCTAACAGTATAATGAACATGAACCTCTGTGAGAGGAATTCTGTCTCATTTCTTCCAGACAGCTTAATACTGCACTTTTGTAAGCAATACAGTGAGTGTACCTTCTGAAATTCCTTGAAGAAAAATGTCTAGGTCAGAGTCAGGAATGTCAGTGTGATTAAGAGTCCAGGAGTTGTTAGCCCTTTTCACAGGCTTGTCAACTGTCACATAACCAGCACAAACTCAGGGAAATTACACTGCTGCAAAAATTTGCTCAGCAATATTTTACAGGAGAAAAAAAAAAAACAAAGCAAAACTAAGTTTTGTTTCTTGCCAGCGTCTTTTAGTTGGATGGCACTGACAGCATTAGGCATTCACCTGGGTAAAAGACTCCCAAGACCCTCGTGATTTGTAAAGAAAACCACAAGTTTCACTTTACGATACTAAAGCAAGAAATTAATAATCTCTATTCTACAACAGGATGTAAAAAAAAAAAAAAAAAGACAGCACACATTTTGTATTTTTTCAGTGGAAAAGATGTTATTCCAAAGCTTAAAATCTAGCACCAGAATGTCAAAACTGCCACGTGTACTTCCGTTTGTGTTGATGCAGGAAGCAGAAAGGTGATGTGCAAAGAAAAAAAGGAAGTAACATTTGTTTGGGACTTTCATGTGTGTTTGTGTGTCCTGTTACACTGCGTTACAAATTCATTCTGACCACTACCTCATGCTACCTCTGTGTACAGTTCAGAGACTCGTACAGGAAGGAAATCTGGCATAAACACCACGGCAAAAACCCACCTCACCTCGAATGTTCGTTTCAAAGACAGATGCATTGACATCAATATCAAAATCCACCCCTTCCTGCAGCACATTGACCACTCTCTGGAACTCGGAAACATTTCCCAAGATCTGCAGGGGGAGCAGGACAGCAGAGAACAAGGCTTAGAGCTCACAGGAAAACAAAGGTGCCATTCAATGTTAGGGGATAATTCTAGTTTTGTTTTACTATTTTGTGAAATCATTAATTACAAATAGTATTAAAAAAGCGACTGAGAGTTTAATCTAATCTCAAAACATTTTCTTCACCCACTTTAGATTTTCATCCCAGAGTCAGAAAGCATGAGGGGTGGGGAGCTCTGCCCACCTGCCTCCCAGGGCTGGAGCAAAGTAAAACGCAAAAGCTCCCTGGCCAATTAATAAGCAACTTTCTGTCACTACCGCCTCAAAAGCAGGTGTGAAGGAGGAGGCCGACAGCGGGCTGGGCTGCAGCCGGGGCACACAGCACCGAGCCCCAGGGGCGCGGGGA